ATATATACCTGAGAAAAACAAAATATATATTTTAGCATGTTCTGTTAATTTTTGTGTGTTATTAGTGATTAAAAATCCTTAGACTAAACAACCAACTTAACCCTCCATGTGAGTCTTTGAGCTGCTGCATGATTCTGCTAAGTTAATGATTAAGGATAATAAAAAAAAGGGCAGGGTATGTCACCTGCAKAGTTATTTAAATCACTGTCAGGCTCTGCATGGAGTTTGGGCCCGGACGTCACACAGAGATGACACAGGGAGCGAAAATGGACCAGCAGCTACAGCAGCTCAGCAGACCCACATGGAGCCGGCAGATAGAGTTCACCCTGGCTGGCATCGGCTGTGCCGTGGGTCTGGGGAACGTCTGGAGGTTCCCTTACCTGTGCTACAGGAGCGGAGGAGGTGAGAGACCGACCTGAGATCACACTGTACTCCCTCTTCGTTCAGTACTTGTTTTTAAAGTGGGAGCAAAGGTTAATAAAATGTTGTTTCAGCTTTAAAAAAACAACTTGTTTCGTACAACTGACCGCGTTGGAGTATTTTCATGTAAAAATGTGCAATATTTCTGTGAAAACGTGTCACAATCAGTATTAACGGTGTAATAAAAAGGACCGATTGTAGAAAAACTTCACCTCTGTTTATCAGAATTTAAAGATTAGRGAGCACAAAGTCCATTAATGATGTGTATAAAAGTCGATTCATGAACAGTTTCTACCAGGGGCCTTCCTGCTGCCGTACCTGCTCATGCTGCTGGTGTTGGGGATCCCCCTGCTCTACATGGAGCTGACCGTGGGCCAGTACACCCGGCGGGGTCCTGTCCACGCTCTGGCTAGTGTTTGCCCACTGTTAAAAGGTATTATCCCCCATCTTTTGTTTTGTCCCCCCCACACACACACACACTGATAAACGACTGACAAGTGGCTCTGCCTGGCCTCAGGGGTGGGCATGGCGTCAGTGGCCATCTCCTTCATCATGTGCACCTACTACAACATCGTCATCACCTGGGCCCTCTACTACCTCTTCAGCTCTTTCCAGGCCCCTCTTCCGTGGCAGAGCTGCAACAACACCTGGAACACACCCAACTGCACGGACCACGCCACCAACAGCAGCTACTCATCCACGGCCAGCCAGGAGTTCTTCAGGTACGCTTTAATACGAACCAAAAAAAACAAAACAACCTTTGCTTCTTTTAACGATCAAACTAGACTGGATAATGATTTGTTATACATCATTGTGTAATATTTTGTGGCTCCTGGGAGAACTGAAAAGAAAAGCAACTGTAATAAAAACATGACATGATTATGAAAACAAAAAGATGATTGAAAACACGACCAATCGTGTGAGAGATATCAAAGGTCAGAGAGAGGGTGGCAAATAAAACGTTTGAAAGGTTGAATACGTTTTAACGTTTAGCTCCCAATGATCAAATCCAAAATGTTTAAAACTTAAATCTTACATCAGCAGCAGATGCTCAAAGGTTGAGCCTGTTTTTTTAAGTCAACGGCTTTTCACGCTCCGCTTGAACACACAGATTTATGGGAAGGAGTTGAAGTGTGTGTTTGTTATGTTTTGACCATAAAGAGCTCACGGTTTGATGTTTACTCAGTTAACAAGTTTTACCATGTCCGACCTTTCCCCTCATTCATTCCAGTGCAGCGGCAGGTCTGTAAAAAACACCTGACACTGTTATTTTTAGTGAATAAGTGAATGAAAGTTCAGCAGATACAAATCTATACGTTTTCAATAGACTCTGTTAAAATCTGTTCTAATTCATAGTTTTGATTTGTTAAAAGGCTTTTTTTTATAATTCTGCTTCAGATAAAGATTAGTTTTAAAAAGTAATTAATTGTTAGCTGTACTCAACAATGAATAACCTYGATGGATTTTGCAGACTGTAAATGTTTGCACAGAATTTAACACAGTCCTAATTACTGTTGAGAGATTGAAGTTTTTGTGTGTGTTTAAGCTGTATTAATTGGAAAAGCATCAAATGTATTTTACAACAAATAAAGAAAGGTGTGTTTGGTAAATTGTTTCTTTCTTACCAATAAATCTTATAGCAGACTCAAAAAAAG